AGAGAGAGAGAGAGAGAGAGAGAGAGAGAGAGAGAGAGAGAGAGAGAGAGAGAGAGAGAGAGAAAGAAAGAAAGAAAGAAAGAGAGAGAGAGAGAGAGGGAGAGAGACAAGAAGCTTCTCATCCTAATCGACCTTATTTATTGACTTACCCTAACCGATCCTATCCGAGGTCCCGTGCATCCCCTTGCGACCCCCCCCCTTAAGACTTTCGGATGGACGGACGTGGGTGATGGCGGATGAAGGCGGGTTGAGGGTGGTCGGCTATGGTGGACGGGTGTGGGTGATGATGGAGGAAGAAGGGTTGGGGGTGGTTGGCTATAGTGGACGGGTGCGGGTGATGGAGGAAGAAGAAGGGTTGGAGGTGGTCGGCTATGGTGGACGGGTAGGAGTGATGGAGGAAGAAGAAGAAGGGTCGGGGGTGGTCGGCTATGGTGGACGGGTGTGAGTGATGGAGGAAGAAGAAGTGTTGGAGGTGGTCGGCTATGGTGGAAGGGTGTGGGTGATGGAGGAAGCGTTCTTTACGGTTTGTGCGTTAAGATTTCTATAATCGATGCACAACCATAGGTCCTTATTCTTCTTCCGGACGAAGAGAACCGGTGCACCGTATGGCGAACAACTAGGGCGAATCCAACCTTTGAAGAGAAGGTCATCGAGTTGTGAGCGAAGCACCTCGAGTTCCTCTTCGCTCATGCGGTAAATGTATCYACACGGAGGGACAACACCTGCCTCGAGAGTAATCYCGTGACGTATGGGTCGATCCGGAACTATTCCGGTGGGAGCCTCGAAGACGTCTCCATATCCATCTAAGAGGTGAGTAATACGTGGGTCCGGCGGTGACGCGGCTGGTCCGTCCATCGACGGGAGGGCATGTAGGAAAACAACGCCCATCTCCTCTATGTCATTCCGAGCTATGGCGTCGCGAATCCTCGCGATGGAAACCACATGACAAGCAATCGAAGTGTGAGGGGTGGCGACCATGCACGGGACTAACACTTCGTTTCGATCACGGATGTGAACGGTTCGGTTATGAAAGTTTACCGGATGGTCGGCGCTACGCAACCAAGACATGCCTAGAATCATGTCGAACTTGGTGTCGAGGATGTCAAAAGACACTGRCTCGCATGCAAGGGGCGCAAAGTACACCGGCACGTCGTCAACGCATCGGTCAATTGACTTTTGCGTGCGTCCGTCCGCCAGTGTGACTTGCGTAGGTTGCGTCTTCCTTCGAACACGGGGGCCAGGGCCTGCGCGTGCCATGAAAACTTGGATCATAAAGTTGCAAGATGCTCCGCAATCAATCAAGGCACTGCAGGTGGCCTTTCCGATTTGAATGCGGATATAAAGCAAAGGAGCATCGGTCTCGACGTAGCGGTCAATCTTCGCAAGATAGGAGCGGAGATCTATAACCGCTACTCCGTCGTCCGTCAACGGAGCTGGTACTGCGATTGCCCGTCACGCCGAAATAAAGGGGGCATGTGATGGACTCTGGAGCCTTAGGGAAAGGGTGCTAGGGTGGTTCGACCCGGAAGGAACGCCGAAAATCGGGGAGCGGCAGAGGGAAAGCAAGGAGGGAGAAGGGACTAGTGCGGTTGGGGAAGGGGGTAGCTCCGAAGGTGGGCTCAAGAAGATAGTCACCACCCTCACCCGGGCACTGAACAAAAACCAGGGGTACCTCGCAAATGCGAAGAAGAAACTCACGTTAGACGGGGCAAACATAATGGAGTTTCTGATAGACTATGAGAACCTAGCAGCCTTATTGAAATGGACGGAAGAGGAAAAGATGGAGTACCTAGGGCAGCACGTGTCGCTAAGCTTGGGAAGGGACATTATGGCCATCGTCGCCTCCAGTGGATCCTGGAAAGAAAATAGGAATGAGATGATGAGGAAATATCTGAAGGCAGAAAAAATGGCAACAGAGGCCGAATTAGCCGCAGTCCAGAGGAAAAACTATGCGACTTACAACGATTTCCTAAGGGCATTTACGTTACTGGCGTTGCGAATTCCCGGGGTAACAGACCGCATAATGAGTAAATACTTCCTCAGGCAGTTCTCCGAGTTTGATAAGGATAAGATTTTGTCAGCATACCAGCAGACCAGTAAGTTCGAGTACACGAGAGATGTGGACTTCAGCACCGTAACAGACCTTGCGGAAAAGACAGTGGTCACCGAGACACTAGCCCTGCTTAAGGAAGGGGAGGTCATAGATTTGATCGGGAAGACAGGGGATAAGGTCAAGAAGGGGATAGAGAGCCTGCACGAACGGGTGCACGGGGTTGACAGCAAGATGGACAGAATGGAAAATGCGTTGTTAGTAATGCAAGCGCAAGTGTCCAGACCCGCCCTCCCGCCCCAAGAGGCCGTGGTTCCGGTAGCTGTAGCAATCCGGAGGTTTGGCAGGAGGGACCCGACCAACGAACAATGCAAATATTGCACCATGATCGGGCATTTCGTACGGGTCTGTCCGAGACTCAACCACGATATCGAGCGGCAGAGGTGCAGTAGGTCCCTCAAAGGCGAGATCCTCGGACCCAGGGGGGAGCGTGTCAATTGGAACTGGCCAGGAGGGATGCGGCGAGCCGTCATCCTCCTGAATAACTTAGAGATAGCTGCCGTAGAAGCAGAGCCGATAACTGACATTGTCTGGGACCAGCCAAGGGGACGGGGACCACACGCCAACTTTATCCTAGAAGGCAATGGCTAGGATAGGGTAAATATCACCACTCGCCGGACCGGTGCAGAAAAGAAGCTTATTCAAGATACAGTAATGGAAGAACTCGCAGGGACTAGCACGGGCCAGCAAGAGACCGAAGTCGGGGAATAAGAGAAGGTCTATGGGAAGCCAAGGGAGGACGAACCGGTAGACAAGACTACGGCGACAGAAAGAAGTTCAGGTATCAAATTTCGATCCTGACTTCACCAGAAATCGATGGCACCTTGAGTAAGCTACTGGGTACCATGGTATCGGTGTCTTTTCAGACCATGCTGCAAGCCAGCCCGAGGCTGCTTAAAGGACTCGGGCAGTTACTAAGGCGTAAGCGCGTAGAGGTAGAGGAGGCCCCGAAACTGCAAGAGCAGGACACGGAAGAGGCCGAGGCGACGCAAGGAGTCTCCAACCTCCAAAGCATTCCAGAGGGCCTGGGAGATTTGGAGAAAGCCTTTGCGGACATCCGCCTAAGCTTACCGGATCGTGAAGGTGGCGAAGTCATGAGGGCGCCACCCAGGACAAAGCTTAGCTTTCATGCATTACTAGTTGGGAAACTTAAAGTTCAAATCGGAACTCACCACACTGACGCGTTAGTGGACGGTGGAGCAGAAATCACCCTCATACGACGAGATTTCGCAACGGTCACGCGGTGTACGGTAAACAAGGAAGTTGCGGGGAGTATCTGGGGAGTCGGTGGCGAAATTCCTTTCACAGGGTATGTCACCAAATGCGCGGTTAAGGCAGGAATCCGGGAATCCATCTAGTCTTTCCAGCGGATGACCGTCATGGAATGGACCACGACATAATCCTTGGGAGACCATGGTGCGCCAATGTAGAAATGATAGAAATGCATCTGCATGATGGCACATACATGGTAGACATAGAGGACCCAGTGACCGGCCGTGGAGAACTCTCCGACTTCTTGGGACCGGAGGGGACCCTCCAAAGGGCAAATTGGCGACCTGGTCTCCAACATTCGAAGAAAGTGCGCGGAAGGGGGCTTTCGCACGAATGGAAGGCATGAGGGAAAGGGTAGAAATTATGATTGAGGAGGCTTTTAGTAAAAAGGAATGGATCAAGATGGGTTTGCCCGTAAAGAAGAGGAGGCTAGAGGACGAGCCCCTGGGGGTTATGGTAGCGGAAAAGGAGCTGGAAGTTGAACTCGGGGCCAGCCTGCCCAAGCCAAAGGAAGGTCGTAATGAGACTCCCGAGCTAGCGCTCGAAATCCCAGACCTGTTGCAACTTGTTAAGGCAATCAGGTACCACAAAGTGGGGGTGGACCCGGCAGCGCTTGCCAAGTTTGAGGATGAGGTTTGAAAAGGCTACTGCCTGAATGGGAAGATAGTTAGCATTCAGCCCCACATCATGGAAATAGCAAGGCCAATCCCGACCGTTCATTTTTGAGGAGGACGATCCCAGAAGGTAGTGTGCAAAAATACAAACCCGTTGGGAAGAAGGCCAAGCCGGTCTCGATCCTAGTAGAAACATCAAAGGAAGAGGCGATGGAAAAAGAAGAGAAGATCCTACGGGTTATAAGGGAGAGATGTGCAACGGAAGGTCATCGCATACCAGATGAGGTAGCAAGCACCATGAAAATAGAAGTGGAAGGATTCCTAACACCAGAAGAGACTCAATTGATAAGAAAGGCGTGCTAGAAGTTCCATTTAGCTTTCGCTTTCAATGATCATCAGAAAGGGCGATTGGATGCAAAGCTAGTTCCCCCTGTCAGGATCCACACCGTATAGCACGAGTGTTGGAATGACAAAGGGTCCGCATATTAGTTTGGGATAGCAGCGGAGGTCACCGACCTGCTTAGAGCCAAGATAGATTCCTTCGTGGCTGAACCCACCGCATCCCCCTACGGGAACAAGTGGTTCGTGTTCAGGAAGCCCAACAAGACGCTTAGGCAGATCCAGGACTTGCAGAAGCTAAATGCGGTAACAATTAGGGACGCAGGCTCGCTTTCACAGGCCGACTTATTGGCAGAATCTCATGCAGGGCGGAGCATTTACTCCCTGGTAGACTTGTACTCAGGATATGATCAGTTGCCGTTCGACGCGAGGGATAGACTGTACACCGCAATGCATACCCCCGCAGGACAGCTGCAGATGCAAGTGACCTCTATGGGCTTCACAAATGCGGTAGCAGAAGCGCAGAGGAGGATGCTCGCCGTTGCAGGAGATATGTTTTCGGAAAAGTGTGAACCTTATATAGATGATAATCCTGTAAAAGGTGCAAGATACAAGGACGAGGCGGAGGTCCAACCGGGCGTACGGAAGTTTGTTTGGGATCACTTGCAGGATATTAAGGACCTGCCCCAGCGATTCCTAGTTTACAATATTACTGCAAGCGGACCCAAGAACATCCTGGCTGTCCCGGAAGTAACTATACTGGGATTTCGCTGTGGGGCCTATGGGAGGAGACCCGACCCAACAAAGACAGATAAAATCTCTCAGTAACCGACACCCCTGCGTACCACGACGGAAGTACAAGCCTTCCTAGGGGTGGTTGGATTCTGGAGGATCTTCATCAAAGGTTTCGCAAAGATAATAGAACCTATCCCCGCGATGATTAGGGAAGGTGGCACTATGGATTGGACCGAGGATAAGGAAGAGGCAACCCAGACCTTGAAAGACATCCTGTCATCTGATCAGGTCACTCTAGCAGCACCCTATTTTAATGACGAGGTAGAACGACCTTTCATCTTAGAAACAGATGGGGGACCACTGACAATCGGAGACGTATGAATACAGAGAAGCGAGGAGGGCAAGGAAAGGCCAATCATATTTGAAAGTAGAACCCTGAATTCGGCAGAACGGCCGTACTCACAGTTCAAAAATGAGGTCTTAGCGATTCTGCATTGTCTTAAGACCTTCCAGACATACCTGTTCGGAAGGCGATTCATCCTAAGGATCGATCCCACCAACGTTGCTGGGGCCCTAAAGAACTACAAGCCTATAGATCCGACTGTTGGCAGATGGATAGGCTTCATATGGAAATTCGACTATAAGGTCGAGCGAATTGTAGGGCTTCGAAATAGGGCAGATGGGCTGAGCAGGGTATGTATCACGCCAGAAGGAATAGAGGACAAGGAACCAATCGATGCTTTCCTGGAGTATGAAGGAGGGACCCTTGTGGTGGATAATGAGATGGCAGATCCAACAATTACAACAGGTCAGTTACTGATTCAGACCTTGGAAAAAGGCGGGCCTCCAGTAGTTGCAGAACTCAGGGAAGGACCAGCCACCACGGTCAGGCGTAAAGAGGAGAAGGACTCGTGGGGAGCAGAAGTAGGGGCCAGGGAAGAGTTGATGGCGATGGTCGTGGAAGGGGGACGGGACGCCGTAATGATGTTGGCCGAAACCTGGGCGCAGAAGGAGTGTCAGTACGTAGTCAACCTCACTCGGGAGGAGCAGGCTACGGATCAGAACAAACATGAATTCTTTCTCATACAGATGTCTGAGGGCGTCTTCAAAAAAATCGGTCTGCTGCTTGTAGGGAACAAACAATCCACGAAAGTCAGTCCCAAGGCAAGGGAGGAAGTAGAAAAGTATGTCCTAAGAAACGACCACCTATTCAAGAGAGAGGAAGGGATGATGCCTAAACGCGTCATTTGTGGGAGGTCTAGGCAGTTGAACGTAATTCAGGCAATGCATGATGGGCTAGCTGGGGGTCATCGGTCGTCAAAGGGGACACTAGCAAAGATCGTGCCCCTGTACTTTTGGCCAGGGATGGCAAGCATGGTCGCAACGTATTGTCAGACGTGTCTGATATGTCAAGAGAGGAGCGTCGTACGAGTTTACGAGCCCCTTAGACCCACCTGGGTACTGGGACCCGGACACCTTGTTCACCTCGACCTTGTCGTTATGCCCGTATCAACGGATGGGTTTAGATACATCTTGGATGCAAGGGATAATCTCAGTGGCTATGTAGAAGTTGTAGCCCTCAAGAAGAAGACGGGGAAAGCTGTGACGGACTGGGTGGAAGATTTCTACCTAAGGCACCCCTTCGTGCGCATGTTTATAGCAGACAATGTGACATAATTCGTTAACCAGGAGGTGTTGAACAGGCTCAAGATATTGTGCGTACCGATCAAGATCACCGAGCCCTTCCATCCTGAGGCAAATGCACCAATAGAAAGGGGTCACCGGACTTTGAAGAACACAATCGCAAAGTTGGCAGCAGATAATTTGGGAAGTTGGCAACGGTTTCTCAATCAGGCAGTCTTCGCCGAGAACATGACTCCAAAAAGAACAACGGGATGTATTCCAGCAGAACTCTGGTATGGAAGGGAGATCGATTTTCCGATAGAAGCCTTGGTCCCTACCTGGAACAGGCTAGATGACGACCCACACTTGAGCACGGAAGAGTTAATCACCGCACGTTGTCAGCAGGTCGCCAGAAATGAGGATGCACTCGAGGAACTAGTCAATCGTGTGACGGATAGCCAAATGAGGGATAAGGCAAGATGGGACCAGGTCAAGAACATTCGAAAGGAGCCACTTCAGGTGGGGGAAAAGGTGCTAGTTAGGAACTCGGTTCTTGAAAGCACATGGTCCGGGCAGCTGGGAAAAAGATTCAAAGGGTCTTACAGGATCGCTAAGCGGGTGGGACTGAACACATTTAAACTTGAGGATCTCGATGGTACTAGCATAAAAGGGTCATTTCTAGGACAGAGACTGGTCAGATTTTTTAGCAGGGATCCGGTGGAACAGTGGCTACAAGAGGCTCAGGACAGGGAATCAGGGGAATTGACAGCCTGAAAGGCAGGCAGCTGGCTATAAGTTCTGGACCACCTCCCTGTGGAAGTGATCATGACCACAGGGATTGTTCGTTTGTGTGTCTTGACTTTTGTGGAACGTGGGGAGACTGCCTGGGCTGACTGTGACTGGGTCTGGGAGCACGAGACAGTGTAGTATAGTTTTTGTGGGGTAACGCTGGGGACTGTCTACACAAGGTATTTATGTGCTGGGACAATGTACCATAGTTTTTTGTGGGGTGATGCTGTGGACTACCTACATGGGGCACCTATGTGTTGGGACAATGTGTCGAGGGTTCTAAGGGATAATGGGGTTACCAACTATATGGGGGCAAGCAAGAGTTCTAGGGAAACCTCCAAAGTCGCAAATGGGAGTGGGAGGGAATGCGTGTGTATGAGGGGTACCGTGACTGTTATGTATGAACAGGGTTAGGCAAGAAGAAGAAAGACAGCAAAAAAACGAAAAAATGGAGTTTGGGAATGAAAATGACAGTAATGCAATTAACAGGCCGGAAGAGGGACATTCGTCAAGGCAAGCTGAAGAGTCAAGCTCCAGAAAAAAGAAGTTGTATGTGGGGTTCGATCACAACCTAGTTGTGAGCAGGGGGGGCAGAAACCAAGGAACCAGGGGGACATCGCCACTAAGGGAAGGGGAGCCAATAGTCCTCCCATCGAAAAGTGACACCAGCAGTGAGGAAGAGAGGAACCCGGGGAAAAGACCAAGGTTGGAGGAGGACGTGCCCGTGGAGTTTATCGACCTCACCAGCGACGAGGAGGAAGATGAGGTAACAACGCCCACAAGGGAAGAACGGGGAAGAGGGGAGCATCCGGGTGAGAAAAATGACAAATGGATAGAGGAGTTCGGACCTGAGTTCAACGATTGGTTTGATCAATGGGGCACTATCTTGCGATTTCAGTGGATTATGAAGGCAAGGGAAAAGTTGGGCAGGGGGGAGGATCTATCCCCAACAACCTTCTTCACAGAACGGACACTCCTCCAGTTCCAAGGAATAAAGAGGCAAATGGAGCAGGAAATGGAGGATCGCGCAAGGAGGGAGGCTCAACGCAGGCCACTTGGACGATAGAGGCACAACAGCCGTAATGAGGAGCAGCTAGGAGTTGGGAGGGTTTGGTCCATGGGCAGTCAGAGCTGCCATTTTGGACTTCGCATTTGAACTCTTTTGTGAATAAATTTTCTAAGCTCGAAGTGACTAAGGACTGGGTAGTTAGCGCTACTTCGTACGAATGGTTGCTTCTTCAGGGAAAGGCATGAGGGTCTTGCACTTAGATTAGAATTCGGGATGGCTGGGTAGATTAAGGGAAAGAAAAAGCGAAAACAGCGGGGATCTAGACGAAGACGAGTCTGTAATGTTGTCTTTGCATTCGAACTCTGTCTCCTTATTTTTCCTTGTAAGGACTGCAGTGAAACTACTTTTTGGATTGAGGGAGCTAGTAGAGGGTGGGTGATCAGGGTTACTTTGTATAAATACTCGCTTCGTTTGGAAAATATGAGTCTTTTGGTAGAAAGAAAGGGATTGGGGGTTGATTGACTTTGTCTCGAGGAGATGGGCAGGGGCATGTGAACTCTTGAACGTTGGAAGAAACATTCAGGGCAAAAGTCTTTCTTTTGAGTTGTGTATCCATGATTGAATGAGTCATTGCATGAGTCATTGTGAGAGGTTAGGGGACCTATGGGTAAAGAGATATTCTCTTCCCTAGGAGCCTAACCCAACCTATCTCAGACAAGTCCACAACATTGGGAGGATATGAGAAGTCAGGAAAGTGGCAGGGAAACATCGAAATGATCCAGCAACCCGTGTAATGGTTGAACGGCTGGGCAGGCTAGTGCTGCTTGCGGCCGCGAGCCTCAACTTGAGTACTAGACGCTAAGTCGGATGTATGGATGATTGTGAGAACGACAAAAGACATGAGGAAAAGGAAGAAGCATGCGTAAAAACCCAAGACGATGGCCGCCTTCTCACCCCCGAGACGAGATAGGATCCGTGTCCTCGAGGCCCACCCCCTCGGGCGCTAACATTGCAATGGACAAGGATGACCCTAACCAGACTGTTTAATTGAAATGGATAAGGATGGTCCTAACCAGGCTGTCCGATTGCAATGGATAAAGAATGGCCTAACCACGCTGTTCGACTTGGAATTGGAAAGAACGACCCTAACCAGGTTGTTCGGAACGGCCCCTGACAAGGGTCATTCTTTGGAATTGGCACTGAGGTCCGCTTGAATGGCTGCGTGTGATGCAGGGAATTGGAAGAGCGAAGCTTTGGAAAAGAGATTGGAAGAGTTAAGCCTTGGAAAAGAGATCGGAATGACTCAGCCTTGGAAGAGATATTGGATTGAGCATTGGAATTGGATTGAGCCTTGGAATTGGGTTGAGCATGGGAACGAGATTGAGTATGGGAATGAGACGGAGCATTGGAATTGGATTCAGAATTGGAAATTGCATTGCATAAACAGGGGGCCCTAGGCAACTTGAAATGGATTTGGAAATGACATTGAAATGGATGTCTCTTTTGTCTTCTAGTCTTTGGCCTCAGCAAGAGGGGGATACTGGCGCATGCACCGCGACCCCAAAGACCTCTATCTCCTTGAGGGAAAAAGTCTCAGCGCGACCTGTTCCTCTTGTAAGAGGATGAGGGTTAAAGGACTAAGGCGCCTACCACTTGGATCGGTGCGGGACGTCCGGAACCACCTCCGACAATGAGCTCTAGTCGGGGAGTTCCAACTGCGCCTTCTGTTGAACGCCTAAACGTCAAAGGGCGAGAGAGCCAAATGGGCAGGAAAACCATTCTCATCTAGTCTATTTTGCTACTCTCCAACCATACGCCATGTTATAGAGGGGTGGCATGGCCGTTTGGGTCGGACCACGACTGCCCGCGCTAAGTTGGGCGGCACTGTCCAAGGGGAGAGGTTGGGCGAGGTACCGGGTGGAGTCCGCCACCACCACGGGGCATTGACACTGCCCTGCCGGAACATTACAACCGTTTCGGGAACTAATTGCGAGGTCTTCGTAACTGCACTCGCGGACTGATTGAGAGCCCCAACTCTCTTGAAAGAAAGAGGCCGGAATCCAGAAAATCACCACTCGGGAGGAACGATTCGCGAGGAACGCTCTTATGGCTAGACGAGACCCTAACAGGCTTGGATTCGACCCGCTTGGCAGACATGGGGAGAAACCTCGGTATTGGTGCTCGCCACGTAAGAGAAGAAAGGTCGGACCGGGAAGAAGGATGAGGCGTCGTCCGCTAGGGAGGAACTGATCACTCTTCCTTTTGTGAAGCGGACGGGCTTGTGTCCTTGACTTGCGGTTGGTGGGCCAAAGGTTTGCGTACCTCTGAGTAAGAACCAGTCGCGCGATGGGGACATCGCGTTTTAAGTGGGGGGAAGGTGTGCCGTCTACCAATGAATACGCATGAAAATAAGACTTGTAATTGATTTTGCATGGGCTTGGAAAAAAGGTGCCTGTCAAGATGGTCGGAACAGAAAAAGATCGTAATTAATTTTGTATAGGCCTAAGAAAAGGGGGTCTGGCAAGGCGCCAATGCAGAAAGGACTTGAGCAAGTGACATGGTATGAACTGGAACTAGCAGACTGAGAGTTGGCTGTGTAATCGGCTCATATAAGCTTGAAAAGATGAGAAGTGGCTAAGGGGTGAACCAAGCATTGCACATGAAGAGTCAATTAAGTAAAGAGCACGAAAAGGGCAGAGGATGATATGCATGCGGAATTGGCAGGACCTGAGAAAGGCCGGGAGAAATGACCCGGGAAGAATGCATGTGGAACTGACTATGTCTAAGCTTCGGGGAGAGGAAAAACTGTACTGAAAATGTGTGGATGTCCTAAGAGTAATAAATGAGACGAAACCAAAAGGATTTCTGCGCGAGAATATTTTTCTCAATGAAACAGGAAGATAGATTTGAGATTACGAATGGAGCCTTCAAGACATTGTCGAGAGCGAGAAATAACGTACAACGAAAAACTAGTTGCAGGGCATGTCTGTGGTCAGACCCCTCCAAGGGGCGATGCTAGTCAACTTGATGAGGGAAAAAAACATCAAACTGCTTAAGCTCCTTGACGTGTTGCTAGCTCGCACCTGGAGGAAGCCATAGCAAATCATCCTTGTGACACCCGTTGCCAAAACCTCCATCTTACCTCGGTCCGTGGGGAGGGTGATGGGTGCGTCGTCCTCTCTCTTGTGGAACGATACGGGAAGTTGTGGGGAAGTTCTAGGGTATGTGGGAGTTCCAGTGAGAAAGAGATACCGCTGTGAGACGGACGTTGATGCACAGAGAGTGTTACGTGCTCGTTACAAAGACATTATTGAGCTTGGGGACGTTACGCAATCCAAAGGAAACCCAAAACAAAACCTTGACCCCTCCATACCCTCCCCCACCCCAAGGGGCGAAAACTTAAAGAAGGACCCGAGGAAAGAGTGGGAAAGACAAAAAGAACCCTGGCAAGTTAACTACTCATCCCACCCCACTCCTCTTCCCTGTCTGTCTATCACTCTAAAAATCCTACTGACCATGGATCAGTGCGCGATGAGGATATCGTGAATGAGTGGGGGAATATGTCGGGACTGGAGTCCCGAATGAATTCCCGTCACTCGAGACACTGTATTTGACCAATTTGTGCACGGCAGAGAAAATCGAAGGCAGGAATGATGGAAAGATCGAAAGCGTGAGCACAGACAGTAGGAGGCTAGAGGCTGTCCGGAGTCGTCAAGACCGCCAAGGCTAGAGAGGAATTGTCTAGGCGGAAAGTTGCAAAGGAATGTGAGAGAATAGCAATGGCGACTCCTTCCCCAAGGACAGAGGATGGCCGCCGGAAAGTTGGTAGCAGCATGAGAGGTGCGCAGCACGGGAAGGAAGGAAGTGGGAAGGGACAAGGCGCAAGGCGCTGACGCGATGCGACAGCAGGTGGGCCGAGGAGATCGCAGGTTAGGAGGAACTGTCGCTCGGAGCGGAACAGCGTGTGGGACACAAAGGGAACGGGGGGGACGGAGACCGCCGTAAGGCAGAAGGACGTCAGAAGCACCAAGGAAAGACATGGTACAAGCGGGACGAAGTGCCAGGAATCGCGTGAGACCAAGGGCTAGACGTAGTGCAGGTAGGCCGAGGGGCCAGGGACCGCATGGGCCCAGACAAAATGATGGCACCCGCGGAACCACTAGGAGATTGAGTATCGACGGAATAAAAGTGTCAGGAGCCGCGGACAGGGGCCGAAGGTCGGATGCTGTCAGCAGGGTAGTTGGCAACCAGCCCAAGAGGGGGGGGACGCGCGATAGTGGGTCGTCACCCAGGGTGACGCCGGATAAAGGGGAGGGGCTAGAAGAAATAAGAAAAGGAGGAGAAGTCGGGCGCTGATAGGAATTGTCGATGAAATGGAGAAGACGGGCAGAGGGCAGGAAAAACAGAGAACACCTGGGGCAACCTAAGAGGTCCTGGATTAAATGCAACGACAACAGAAATGAAATAGCATGACATCAGGTGGACGGGACCAGCCGGGCCGAGGAGTCCGGATGAAAACGTTAAGTGCTGCTGCGGCGGGCGCTGGCGGGAGGTGCCGAGGGGAAATAAAAGATGGAATAGCGACAGTAAGAGGGGCCGGCCAGCGGTCCAGGCTATCCCCGACCAGCCAGGCCAAGAAAGACGCGCGAGAGCGGGTCGTCACCCAAGGTGACGCCGGTTGAAGGGGACAGGAATTGTCAACGGAATGGAGAAGACGGGCACGAGGCAGGAAAAACGGAGGGCACCTGCGGCAACCTAAGGGGTCCTGGATTAAGTGCAACGACAACAGAAATAAAATAGCACGACATCAGGAAGACGGGACCAGCCGGGCCGGGGAGTTCGGATGAAAACGTTAAGTGCCGCTGCGGCGGCCGCCGGCGGGAGGTGCCGAGGGGAAAGAAAAGATGGGATAGCGGCAGTAAGAGGGGCCGGCCAGCGGTCTAGGCTATCCCGGACCAGCCAGGCCAAGAAAGATGGAGTCCCGAGGACTCCACGTGGAGAAAAGGCTGGCCAGAGAAAATCGGAGCAAACTGGGAGCGACAGCAGCAAAAAGGAGCCCCCTTGGACCCTCGGGGTGCCACTACTGCAGTCCGAGGTGTAACGGCCATATGCCGGCACCAAAATCGGGCCTCGGGAAAGGTCCAACAGCTAGAAAGAGGAGAAATAGTTGTTGGACAC